ACAAACAAATATGGAATGGAGAAAGGCAAGTAAAGGCAACTATTTTTCCTAATTTGTCATCTTCCTTTTAATAAACAGACACTTTTTATTTTTAAAAACTCCTTCTGACAGTATATGCACATTAAGAAAAATACCTACGGTGTTATATTCCCTCAAACATATTCCTGAACTTTTCCTCACAAATATAAAATGTACGCCCTGCCACCCAAACCCTAGAAGGCACCACTCATGCCAAAATGGAAGAGAAAAGGAAAGTAACAGAAAAGAAGGAGACTTTAATGAATTGTGAGGGTTAATGAGAGAAGAGTCATATTCCCTCTGTTGTGCCTTAAACCAGTGGTCGGCAAACCACGGCTCTTTCTATTTTTCCTAATTTGTCATCTTCCTTTTAATAAACAGACACTTTTTATTTTTAAAAACTCCTTCTGACAGTATATGCACATTAAGAAAAATACCTACGGTGTTATATTCCCTCAAACATATTCCTGAACTTTTCCTCACAAATATAAAATGTACGCCCCCCCACCCAAACCCTAGAAGGCACCACTCATGCCAAAATGGAAGAGAAAAGGAAAGTAACAGAAAAGAAGGAGACTTAAATGAATTGTGAGGGTTAATGAGAGAAGAGTCATACTCCCTCTGTTGTGCCTTAAACCAGTGGTCAGCAAACCGCGGCTCGCGAGCCACATGCGGCTCTTTGGCCCCTTGAGTGTGGCTCTTCCACAAAATACCACGTGCAAGCACGCACAAACAATGCGATTGAAACTTCGTGGCCCATGCACAGAAGTCAATTTTCGGCCTGGGCGAGTCTATTTTGAAGAAGTTTTATTCGACGTACCTATAGTTTAACTAAGACTTAAAACTTTAAGTAAAGTTTATTAAGTTAATTTTAGGGAGTGTTGTGGAGTGAAAGAAGATGTAGTGTCGAGGATTGAGAAAGGTATGTTGAGATGGTTTGGACATATAGAGAGGATGAACAAAAGGAGATAGATGAAACAAATATACAAGACGAGTGTGGATGGGAGAGTTGGAAGGGGTCGACCTCAGCGAACGTACCTCAATCAGATTGAGGACGTTTTTAGCAAAGGCCAGCTTAGGAGTCCCCTAATTAAGTTAATAACAATGTACCTACCTATATAGTTTAAGTTTTAAAAATTTGGCTCTCAAAAGAAATTTCAATCATTGTACTGTTGATATTTGGCTCTGTTGACTAATGAGTTTGCCGACCACTGCCTTAAACCATACAATTGCAGTAGGAAAGGACATCAGAAGAGAGAAATATGATCCTCCTCCACGAAAAAATTAAGTATTTTCTTAGGTTTAAAAACTTTTCAATGAAAAAATGTCCTGTTGCCCAGAAGCACCTTTCTAGTTAATGATCTTTAGTTTCTCAGTTAGCTTATGCTGCACAAATCCCATCTCAGTTTATAAGGGAAGGGGCATTTAAGCTGTGAACTGCAGGCTGAAAGAACAGGAGAGTTACAAGCAGGATATGAGCTGACAGCCGGAGTCCGTGGGGCCCACTCATGCTTGGGCTACAAGGATCTTTGCTCCTTGGATTGGTGGAGAGGAGTGTGTGCTGACTCAAGGTTCTAGCACTTTCTTGAAAAATCACTGCACAGTTAACTTTTAAATTACTGAGAATAATTGTAGCGATCAATAGAAAACACCAACCTCTAAAGTAACTTCCTATAGCATAATATGAAGAAGTAGAATACATGAAGCAGTGATGCACAGAAAATCAGGTCTCATCACTAGCTTTCTCTCTCAAGAAAATCAGTTCATCAGTTAAAGGACCAATTTGAAACATGGTTGGTTTACAAATTTTCATTTGTGGTGAAAAAAATTACAGATGGATATATTCAAACCAACATTCTAAGTAAAACTGTGAGACTGATTAATTACTGACAGTTAATAAAATTACAATGGAAAATTGATTTTTCACTAGTAGTTAAAAGCTATTTGCCGCATGTCAGAATGAAGACCGCCTAGGAAGCAGAAAAACATAAAACACCCACTAGAGCACCTCATTTAATCCTAAAAAGAGGAAAGAAGTTTAATACTGTGTCCCCAGAAACATAACTTCTTCCCTTAAACTTTGATTTTATAACATTTACTTGCAACAACTCAATAAATGCTTGCCTCATGATTAGCCATTAATCTGACTAGCAAAACAATTTTTTCTTTTATAGCTCAATCCTGCTTGACCTAGAGATGCCACAAAACTCTATAATGTGTGTGTGTGTGTGTGTGTGTGTGTGTGTGTGTGTGTGTGTGTTCGTTCAAGTAAATAGTTTAGAGGCCATTTCCTATTGTGTGTGTGTGTGTGTGTGAGTGTGTGAGTGTGTGTGTTTGTTCAAGTAAATAGTTTAGAGGCCATTTCCTATCTATGGAAATTCCTGATTAACCTTCATCCCAAATGCACCCATCTCATTTCATTTTTGTATGTGTGGTTCAACTGTTCACACTGATGTGATGTCTGAATTACAGTGCCCTGAGCAAAATGCTATTCTTTTAAATAGAAATAAGAAAATAAACTCTCCTTGAGCAGATCAATTGGACCATGATTTTCCTCACTCGAAGGGATACACCTTTATAGAAATAGGCAGCTAGGGTGCTAGCCGGCCCATCATCTTTCTTTAAAGGAAAGTCACACCTTCGGTCCTGAGGGATTGGTTTGACCAATCATTATTCTATCATCATCCTTCCCAGGTACAGACTCAAAATGTGGTAAAATTTAGATCAATTTCCTTTTATTTCATTTTTCCTATATGCCCAGGTCACATCCTCTACATAATTCATTCATATTATCTTAAATGTTCACCTCTATATTTGCAAAATTAAAATTCAGATCCACTGTTCAATTGTCCTTTTTTTCTGTTTCTGAATAGAAATAGTTTCTGTAGTTTCTCATTTGTGTGAGACAAATTAGGTATTACCTATGTTATATTTTGCCAAATTTTAATACTTATTGTAATAAAATATGTAAAAACAAACACAGAGAAAAAATGAGTAAATAAAAGTTGTAAGTATATGTTAAGACCAACTAAATATCATCAAGAGTATACAATTGTATTCTAAAGCCATATGAAGGTTTTCCTGCTAAACATTAAGCAAATTGGAATACTCTGTCCTGTTTATTATATAATTAAGTATATTTAATGTAGAAGAATTAGGAAAACACAGATATAGCTATAGAAAATTAAAATCTCCCATAATTCCAGTGCCTGAGATAACCGTTAACATTTAGTTCTTTCCTATTTTAACTCTGTCCTTTTCAATTTTTCCCATTTTTATACATGTTGTTTTTTCTTACAGTAGTTGGCTTTATACTGTGTAGCCTGTTTTATAATGTACTTTCTATGTCAATAAATATACATCTAAAACTTCTTTATGGCTGCATTTTATGAATTTTATGGATATCCTATTTGGATTATCCAAACGTTAAAAGATTTTTAGATACTATACCTGAATCCATTGTTTGCACATAAGTTTGACTTAATGATTGCTTTGTAATAGTTAGTGCATACTGTCCAGGCTCCACTTAAAGCCTACTATTGTATAAAAACATCAGCAATAATGTTTAGCTCTTCTAGGAAACCATGCATAATAATGTAAAATCCTGCTAAATACATTTTCTTATTGAACTACAGAATTTAGTTCCTCAGGCTCGTCTTCTATCAATTAGAGTGATAAGCAGGCACTCAAAAGCTAGCTATTCAATTATATTTTCTACCTTTCAACTGAAATGTTCCTGTCATTGCATATCGTGTAGTAATTTTGAAAAGGCTTCATCTTAGCAACCAAGTGATAACTTTAAAACCAAGAATCTGAACCAATTAATTCCTAACATTAATTACTTCTTTTAAAACAAAGGCACTTTAAAGTAAGTGACTGCAAATACACTTTTTATTCCATTAACAGTCCTTATCTCTTTTTCCCCCAGCTCACAGTTCTGTTGACAACTCATGCTCAGACTCAAATCATCATTCAAATCATAATTAAAGCATAACTCTGAACTCTGTGTGTACATGCTAATTCCATAACCACCAGATGTAAAAGCCACATAGAGATTCCTATAGAGTATTATTAGCTGGCAAAGAGCAGAATTAAGATGCACAGAAGTATCTTCTATAGCAAGTAAATATTTTGGTTTTAATTACATTATTATCTAGTTTTATGCTACTAATTACTACAATTTATTCTATAATTGACTCTCAGAAAAAAAATATTACCAGAGTAGTTCTGCAATCTTAAACTGAAGATAATATATACTTATGATTTTGCCTAACTCCTCAGTTTCCTTAAAAATATAATGCAATTTTTTGTAGTAGGTTTGATAAATCTTGTTCCTGTTCTTTCATTAATATATAAAGTTTTCATATAGTACTATAGTTATTTGCTGATTTATTTCTCAGAAACTTTTAAAATTGTATTTTCAAGCCAAAGACAATGTATTAATTCATCTTTACTGCCCATCACCCAGTCCAGAACTTGAAACTTAGTAGGAACTCAATTAATTTTATCAAATAAATTAATGAATTAATTCTTTAAAGTAGTCCTTTAACTTAACATGTAAGAGCATTATTGTTAAATACTAGCAAGTATCTATTTCAGTCTTTACAGATTAAAAACCTGAAGCCTTTAGAGCAAAAGACTAAACATTTGAAACAATAACAGTTTGCCTTAGATCGAAAACAAATGAACTAATTCTGAGACTCAGCAGTCATTCATAAGCCACTTGAGCTGCCTGCCTTCTTGCAGTTTATGACCTCAGTGAAGCCTTTCTAGTGAAATAAAGCCTTGTGTTCACTCTGGGGCCATCTATTGTTCTCTTTGTAATTTGTAACAAATTTTAAAGGTTATAAATGTTTGTGGTGAAGCATAGTTGCTGAGCTGCATCCATTTACACATACGTGCCCTTTTTTTTTTTTTTTAACTACAAGACCAGGGACTGGCATTTACTTACTTCATAATAACTTAATCGTACGTACCTTTGAATTCAGGATGTTCTTCAAATGCCATGATTTATGTCCTCCTTAGTCACATAGTAGTCAACCTCATCAAATTCAACTAGGCCAACCTCATTCTCCTAGGAGTAGTAGCTAGCAACAAAAAGTAAAAAGTTATTTCTTAATGAAACTGTAACTGGACAAACAATGGATTACAGTTTTTCTTACAATATTAGCTGGTACCCCAAATTCTATTGCTGCCCCCTTTCAAAACTATATATACTTGAATCTTTTCAAAATAAAAAAAACCCTGATAAATTGTTGCAAATGACAGTGAAATGAAGGAAAACAATCATAAATATACAAATTTTATCTACCACTTTTAAGCCTATTTCCTTTTTGTTACTGTGCTTCTTCTTTAATTTCTCTTGAACTAATGTGCCCTCTTATGGTTAAAATAAAAATATAATCAGAACCATAAAAGAGTGCAAACATATTAACTGCAAGAAATATTTTTATTTAAAAGGTATTTATTTGACTCAAACCTATGCCTTCAAGATTAAAATGGAAATGTCTTTAATAAATAACAAGAATATGCATTTTATCTGTTCTGTATGGTAGACAATGCAAATAAGGTGCAGCAAACAGACCTTTGTCAAATAGATTTGTGCTAGTTCCTATTTTAAAAAGTGTTTAAATATTTGTTATTTTGTTATTAATTATGTCTATAATTAAGTCTTGCATGTATTGAAGTTGAAATATAGATTGAGATTATTCCTATTTGAATATTATAATTCAAACATTTAATTTAAGAAAGCTATTACTGAAAAATAGATTATTTTGATTTTTTCTTCATTTTTATTTCTTTAACCTGAAATGAAAGTCTACCCCTAACCTCTAAAAAAATATAAACATATGTATACAAAAAAATTAAACAGCTATGCTATTTATTTGTTCACAATTTATTCTCAGTGATCTCTTATTTTTGGCTCAATTGAAACATCAGAAAGTAATAAAGATTCAGAAATTACCCAATTAATGTCACCTATACCAATAGTCCACTGAGCTAAGGTAGGGGTTTAGGGAGAAATTGCGTGGATGATTAAGCTTGGTTTACTACGTCCAGGAAAGTTAGTAAAGTTCTACAATACAATATTTCTAACAATAATTTGATCAAGAAATAAAAACATATATACAGGAAATATAGTTAATTCTGTCTATCTAGAAGACTAGAATGAAAATCAAAGCCATAAACAGAAAATCGGGGCTGGCGCCAGGCGCTGGCAGCAGGTGCAAGCAGGGCTGGCCCCGGGGCGGGACTATGGAACATGGGAGCAAAGAATTTTCAGTAACCACCAGAGACTCGTCCAGATGACAGCAACCAGTGCCCCATCTTGGTCTGGGGCCCCCCGCTCACCTGCTCCACCATCCCGCTACAGCAAATGCCCGCCATATTCCATGCTCTGCCACCTGCTGCTGACACCCGCCATGTTCTGCATGCGCCCTCTGGTGGTCAGCGCACATAGTGACCAGTTGTTTGGTTGTTCAGTTGTTCCACCATTCGGTCTATTTGCATATTAGGGTTTTATATATATAGACTAGAGGCCTGTTGCATGAAAAGATTCGTGCAATAGGCCTTCCCTTCCCCTGGCTGCCGGCACCGATTTTCCTCTGGCACCCGGGACCCAGGCCTTCGCTCCGGCTGGAGCCGCCTTCAGTCTTCGCTGCTCCGGCCGGAGTTGCCTTCAAGCCTTCGCTCCGCCGCTTTGCGCCTACGTATGCAAATTAGCCGCCATCTTTGTTGGTGGTTAATTTGCATATCTCGCTGGTTAGCTGATGGGAGCGTAGCAAAGGTACGGTCAATTACCATGTTTGTCTATTATTAGATAGGATAGTCTATATTCTATATACAGTAGGTCCTCAGGTTACATCGGAGATCCGTTCCTACGGCGCAACGTAACACAATTTTCGCCATAAGTTGGAACCCACCTACATAAGTACCTACGTCACTCACATGGAGCACATACACAGCAGTAATTGGCGACGTAACCACGAAACGACATACATTGAGTCTGATGTAACCTGAGGACTGTCTGTATATGATGTTAATTTTTTATTTTAAGTGAACACAGAGTATTGAAAGGCCTGCAAGCTGGGGGCAGGAAACCTGGATCCCAGTTCTGTTTGTACTCCCAATCAAATTTGAGCAAGCCATGAAATACTCTGATTCTTGATTGCTCGCCCTATAAAGGAGGAGAGTGAATTAGATAACCTCAGATCTCCTTTCTAATCTAAAACTAAACATGCTCAAAGTCACTAATCATCCAAGAGATGCAAATCAAAACAACAATGAGGTACCATCTCACACCTGTCAGA